CAGAGTTTTGATCACTGCTACCAATACTGCCATTGACAAATGTAACAGCATGAAGTAGTTGATGAAAATAAGATTTTTCTCTTATGTTGAAAGAATTAACACCTGATATAGGCCCAGTATGGCAGATCTGTCTCCAGGATTCAGTCAATTTGGGTAGTAGTGATGGTACAACACTATTGTTGGTGATGGACCCTGAAAGTCTTTATCCAGAGTACATTCCGTCCACTTGCTACTCAGTGTTTCTGCCAAGTCATGATCATTCCAAAGGAGTTACTGATTCCATCAGCTGAAAAGGTGACAGAAGCTTGTAGTCAGCAGACTCCTTGCCCATATCTAACATGGACACAATTTCGAATAGGTTTCTGTGAAACGTTTTGCAATGTTTTATCTTTACTGGAGACAGTCTCTGTATGCAAATTGTTACAGATCTGCCCTTTCATTCAAGAAAGAGTGTTATTTTCCAAGTACAAGAAATTCTAATAAATTAATGGAATGGGGTTGGTGTTTGTTTTGGAAGATCACACGGAGGTCTCACTTGATACACCTGTTCAATCCACCTATAGAGATTGTAGAATCTCGACATTCCTTTCCAATAAATAGAAGAACAAATAAATAGTCTTAGAACATACTGTCATTAACACAAGGATTGGGCAGTACCACATGTTCCTCAATTCAAGTATTTGAAATTTTGAGCCTGTTTTTAAAGTTCTGATTGGACATAAATATCTGTGACTCTTCATGAAGTTGCGAGTAGAATTGGTGAATTTTTAGAGATACAAATTCTTAAGAATACAGCAAAACAAAGATGCTGGTTAATGATCACACACCTCCCACCAGGCCACAGATATTCACACCTGAACATTCAAGAACACATTGAATTATACACAGAAAGAACATGAAAACATATGAACTGCAGCAGGTTAATCTGGTCTGTAAGCCTGATCCATCATTCTAGATCATTGATCTAATCTGTCTGGATCATTAGATAACATTCCCATTAAACTGATATCTTAAGAATTTTGTACCTCAATGAAACATTTACTAGGTTATATTTGTTTCTTGATAACGGTGACATCATAACACTTATACCCATCTTTTTGGTTAGAGGGCATTAGGTGTCAGCTACGTGTGGGGCACTGGATTGCCACATATAGGTCACACAAGTGCAAAGGGATCATTTGGCTTTGGAATGGGGTGGACAGTGTTGACATTATGATTCACAAGACTTTGCAATTGAGCGAGGCAAGGCAGAATGGATGAGGTGGTTTTTATTTTAATCAACCCACTGTAGAGATAAGGTTACAGGAATATGTTGATAAGCCTCTGTGATGTTACTGTAACCTCAGTGGTCAGGTGTTGTGTTTCGTTTAGAAGGTGGACATCATACAGCTCAGAACATGTTGCTCTGTAGCCTGTCAAGTACAGTAACAATGAACATAGTTTGACAGTTACAGAGACTCTGGCCTGAGCTTATATTAAGAAATCACAATTGACCACATTTAAACTCCAATCTATTATTGTTGGCATGTTCTCTGGAGTGGTTGTGGAGTGGGGCATGGGTTGTAGAATTCTTATGGTGCAGATGGGAGCCTTTTGGCCCATCATGTCTTCACCGGCCCTCTGGGGGGATCCTAGCTGGGCCCAATCCCCCCCACCCTGTCCCCATGGCTCTGCATTTACCATGGGTAGTCCACCTAGCCTGCACATCTGGAGACACTATGCGGCAACTTGGCGTGGCTGGTCCACCTGGCCTGCATCGCTTTGGACTGTGGGGCAGGGTTGGGCACCCAGGGAAGGTCCATGCAGGCTCTGCATGGGCAGTCTGCTGATAAGTTTGGGCCCCTGGTGCTGTAGGGTACCAGTGCTGGCCACTGAGCCACCATACTGCTCAGTTATTCCCTAGTTTTCTCATCCTTTCCTAAAGCTGCTTGCTATCCCTTGTAAAATCCCTTTTCTTTGACTTGGCATCTGTTCTGATTGCCCCTCTATGCAATGCTGCATTTATCCATAAAACATTCTTTTACAAATCTACAGTCAGCATCCTGTGGCTCAGTCCTTGTCCCACTCCAGGATTTGATAACCAAGGAGGATGTGTTGATAAGGCGGCCAAAAAAAAAAACGGAGTGCCAACCAGGAAATGCTACCAACACATGCTGGTGGTAGGCAGTTAGAGATAGAGATTCTTGGTCAGCAGTAATGGGAACACATAGAGCCTTTACAATCTACAGCTAATATTTATTTACATAAGATTTCAATTTCTTGCAGCTTCTGTTATTAATACTGTAAAGAGTCTAGACGATTGCCACTCAATTGCCTTGTAGAAATTGAAATAAGTGAATGACTTTTTAAAAGCTTTTTTGTAAACGCATCCGATTGTTACTGTGGGATTCACTGCTCTAACATCACTAACTATAGCTCTGGATTAAAGGCTAAAGTCACTATAGTCCCATAGGGCTGCTCTCTCATTAGAGAGAAACGACAATCGTGGAAGTTTCACAGGCAACCACCTCACCACAGCCGAGGAAGAAGAAAGTACTGATGGCTGATGAAGTCTTCACTTTACAGGTTATAGGAGAGGCTGGAAATTTTTTTCACTGGAGTGTAGGAGGTTCAGGAGTGACCTTATAGGAGGTTTATAAGATCATGAGGGGCATAGATAAAGGTGAACAGCAAACATCAAAGGTCTTTTCTCTAGGGTTGGGGAGATCAAAACGAGAGGGCAATTTTAAGGTGAGAGGAGAAGATTTAAAAGGGACACGAGGGGCGACTTTTTCCACAGAGGGTGGTTTGTATGTGGAATGAACATCCAGAGGAACTGGTAGATGCAGGTACGGTTACAACATTTAAAAGACATTTGGACAGGTACATGAAGAGGAAAGTTTAGAGGGGTATGGGCCAAACAGTCTGTTTCCATGCTGTTTGACTCTATGACTCTAAGTGAAATAAAGGTTGCAAAACTCCTCCCCTTTTCCAGTCAGCTTTGTCACAATAAACTCATGAAGGCAAAGGGTGGCAATGGTGGGTAGTTGCTTTTGGTTCCAAGGACACAGAAATGTTCGAATTATATCTCAACAACAAAATTTCAGTCCCAGGGCTTTTTCCATTGCAGTTCTATCAGACTGCCATGTCCCGCATCAATTTCCTCATACCCTTCCTCATCAGTGATGCCAAATTACACTTTACATTGAATTCCAAGCCTTGGGATTGCTACTTTGCTACGAATATCTAGACTCAAAAGTAGTCCATTGTCTGTGAATGTCAGGAAAGATGCTATGTAAATACACATTTTCTATAGGAACTAATTGGGAGGTCATTTTATTTGGGATTCTGCTGTGACAAGTGGTTAATCCAATCATTCTGGACTTGTTCCAGGTCCCAGGGATGACGAATAGAAGATTATTACACAAGGAAAACTACTTGATTTAGAAGTCAGAGATATCCTTTGAAACCAATATAACACAAAGACTCCTTAAGCTCAAAGAGCCCCTCTTAGTTGTTAGCTCAATGGAAGACAAAAACTGTTACCTTTGGTTGTCATGTCTGGAACCTCTCTCGTTGGTCTCCTCACATTCACCTAAATTCAGATTCAACATGTTTTTTATGAAGTGCATGATAATCACTGTCACTGGTATTGGCATATGCTTCAGGTGTAACAGGACACCAGGTCAGTTGCTGGAGCTTCCCATAGTCACGTTCTAAATGTATTTCCTGTACAGCTCCAAATTAAACAAACATGTGCACTCCTTTTCACATTAATTTTAAAATAAGTATTTGCAACAAATAAATTCACAAGTAAAATAAGAGTAATTAAGAGCAAAGTTAAACACTGACAAATTGTTTCACTAGAGAATAAAGAATAATGCACACTAAATAGACTCCAATGATTGCAAATCACTTTTCAAAAACCAAATCTGATGACAGAAGTTAAATGGCCCAACAGAGAGAAGAGGAATAAACAAATACACAACTGCTGTTGCATTTTATACCTGTTACAATAATGCAGATTTTATTTTGATAGATCTTAACTGTAGTCTAAGTAGGTCAGATGAATGGATCTTCCAAATTTTGTAAAGAGAAAAAAGCGTGCAAGGATCCCACAGAAGGCAAATAAAAACTGTCTACCTTCCTATGTGTACACAGTAATATTGCTACATAAAATGAAACACAAAAAGGAATACATACTTAAAGTTAAAATAACAAAAGAAAGCCCCAAACGCTCCAACTGTCTGCGATCTGATATGCCCAGTGATACGGCATGAGGTTTTAACTTTTCACAGTTGAGTAATTCATAGAGTTTGTATAGTTCATGAATATATATACCAATGCCTGCAGCTCAGATTAAATTTCAGAGAGTCCATGAAATTTTCAACAAATCCATCAATGGCAGCAAATGAATAGCAGTAACCATCATTCAAAAGCCTCAGCTGAAGTAACATCACTGGTGAGAGTAGATTGAGGCTGCATAGGAATTAAGTTTCTGAAACTTTACACACCAGTTAAAAACTGCAGCAACATAGAATTTAATTTCCTGTTTTCTTAAAAAGATAAAAGCTTCAAAAACAAAACCATGATGACTTACTGAAAACTGCACAAAGGGAGGTAACAACAGCAGGGGCCATCTCTTCCAGATCACCATTTATGACCCTGGTCATCACTCTCCCCCTTTCTCCTGGGTATTCTGAGTGACAGGAGGGAGGAGGTGTTTGTGTGTTCAGGGAAGAGTAAAAGAAAAGGTTTAGCCAATAGATAATCAGTAGAGGTCAATGGCTTAAAGCAAGTCTCAAAGTCCAGTTTTCAGTGGTTTCTATTCTCAAACACCTTTTTAAGGAATAAGCTCTTTTAGCTTTGGAAAACTGAACTGAAGCTTAACAGGACTCACTAAGACCTTTAATATGGGGATGTTTGGTGATGGTAGAGAGGCAGTGGGGGGAGAATTTAAACACATATTCCCTTTTACTTTTTCAAGACACCTCTTTAAATACTGAAGCAGTACAAACCTGTTTTCTGTTGCACACAGTTTATTTAACAATATGGTATATAAGTAAGAAATGAGTTTTAACCAGTTTATACAGTGATTGAGAGTTTTGTTTCCTTATTTATAGTAATTATATAACTTGCATGATTTACACTATAATTGCTTTCTTCTCATTTCAAGTTTCACAGAGAATAAAGGAGGAAAGGAAAGGATATGTCTTCTATTAAAATCAGCACAATCTATCAGTGATCATCCTAGTTTCACTAAAACCAGTTTATCATGAAACAAAGCAACAATTTCTACATCTGCAAGACAAAGTTTGGCTATTGCCAGTACATGTGTGCAATGGTCTATTCCTATCTATACAAATTTAATACTTGAAACGTCCGCACAGACTTCACTATAGAAAAACCTTCCCAGAACACGTCAGAAAATTATTGGTGTACATTATATGTTGCATTTTTCAGGAAATTTTCTTTCCTGGTTTTAAACACAAAAGATGCTTAAAGTCTGAAAAATACAAAATAAAAATATGAATAGTATAACGAACTTGCTTTTTCTCCATTTAAAAAAATTAGGCAATGAGTCATCAGCAACAAAAGCAAACAGGAAACAAAAAAGGGAAAAAAAAAACAAAACACGACCAGAATGTGCAACCAGTCTGAACAAAAAATATATTCTTTGTGTTTTAACAGCAATTCATCCCTCAATGACTAAGGAAGTTGCAGTTCCTTCTAGGGATTGATCATCCCCAGACAGCTGAAATTTTCAGTACAAAAAGTCTCAGGAAAAATTGCTCCCAAATGCTACAAGTTTTCTTCCACAAACTTTTCTAGTGTGTCACATGTAATAGTAGAGCTCGATAGGCTGGAGCTGTCAGTACCCAGTCCTAAGTCACCAGTGGCGCTATGAATAGCACTAATGCCAGGATTAGTCAGTTGTGGAAGCATTGCATTCTGTTCTGGGGTGCTAAAGTGTCCCTGATCCATGGGATTAGCCTGGGGTGCAGCTAGTCCTGGGTGTGGGGAGCCAGTCTGGGGAGAGACATGGTGGGGAGAAGGTTGTGGCTGTATCCTTGGTGACGGGCTGGAATGTGGAGGTTGGGACTGGGGCCGTGGTGAGGGTACCGGCTGTGGAGACCGCACTTGGTTGCTGAGGGAAGTAGCAATCTGTTGGCTCTGAAGGTGAGATGACTGCGGCTGTCCTGACAGCATGTGCTGCTGGGGGCTCATGGGGTTGGGCTGGCCTGGTGAGCCCATTTGCTGCTTCATCTGTTGCTGTTGCAGAATCCGCTGCTGTAGCGTCTGTTGAATGGTGGGAGTCCCATCAGCTCCCATCCCTGGCTGACTCAGCTGGTTTAGCTGCCCCATCTGGGTGATCTGTCCCATAGGCCCACCTTGCATGGGCATGTGTTGCTGCATGCGTTGCTGTGGCATCGTTTGTGGGTAAGCTGGTCCTTGTGGTTGCTGGAACTGTGTGTGACCTGCTATTCCTCCAGTCATGCCAGTCCCCTGCTGCTGTTGTATAAGCTGGCGCCTGATCAACAGCTCCCTGTACTGTGGGTTAAGAGTTGCCAAGTTAGGGTTGTGTCCAGGGTTCATCATATTCATGGTTTGACTCTGGGTATTCATACTGCCCAAGTTTTGCTGCTGCGGGGATAAGGCAGGCCGCTGGGCAGTTGCCTGCAAAGGGTTCAGATTCTGCAGTTGATTCTGCATACCTGCTTGAGCGTGCATGCCTGCTTGTTGCATTCTGGGCTGAGGTTGAGGTTGCATGCCAGGTTGTGACTGCATGCCAGGTTGGTTAGCCTGGTACTTAGCTGTTCGTTGCTTTATGAATGCTGCCATAAGTTGTGGGTTGGATTTCAAAATATTAAGCACCTGTTGTTGCTGCTGTGGAGAACTAGGTGATTTCAATGTTCGTAAGAGGTCCTGGAGAGCATTTGGGGAGATGCTGCTGCGTGGAGATTGCTGGACTCCTGGCATTCTCTGTCCTGCTGATGTCTGTGGCGATGTCATTTGCATGCCACTTCTCGGCATGCCAGTCTGCAGAGGCTGTGACTGTGATAGTGTCGTTCCTTGTGGCCACTGTCCTGGTTGCATGCCAGGAATCACCTGACCCATTGGAGGCCGAGTGACTTTCATACCAACGGCTGGCATCTGATTGACAGGCCCAATCTGCTGCCCAATCATGTTTTGCCGTGCTATTCCTAAACCATTGTTCATGTTTGCCATTTGGTAAAGCTGCTGCTGCTGCTGGGCTTCCAGCTCAATCTGCCTGGCCACTTCCAATGCTGCAGCTGGTGGAGGTTGAGCAGGAAGGGCTTGGGGAAGTGGTGATACCTGGTTTGTGGGCTTTCCTTGTGAAACAGTGGTGGGGGGTTGAGTCCTTGGAGGATTAGGGAAGCCACTTGGCAAGTTGTTGGATGGTGGGGTCAATGGTGGAGGCTGAGGCTGTGGCGTCTGAGGGGTGCTGGGCTGCTGCTGTCCGGTGGGTGTAACAGGCGCAGTTGAGGTAGGAGAAGGCAAACTTTGCTGAGGCACATTTCCGCGCTGCATGGTGGCCATCCTTCTTCGGAGCATCTGTGCTTGCTGCAGTCGGTGTTGCAGCTGCTGCTGACGTAGCTTGTGTTTGATGTTGAGACAGAATGGCACAGGACATTTGTTCTCTTGGCAGTGTTTTGCGTGATAACAGCAGAGGGCAATTAACTGCTTACAGACAGGGCAGCCTCCATTAGTCTTGCGTTTGCAGCCCTTGGTATGCTGGACAACTCGTTTCATCTTCTGGCAGGACGGTAATGAGCAATTGGCATTGCGGCACTGGCATGCGTGAACCAAAGACTGGATGCAACGTTGGATGCTGAGGCGTCGAGACTCTTGTGGACTCTTGGAAAGTGGATCTGGTTGGTTACTGCTCTCATCATCTAGTCCCAAGCCCCATTTAACCATTTTGTGCTCATGGCCTTTAATGTTGTGGCAGTTGACACATAGGTCATAGTCCTGGACAAGAGGAGAAGAATGAAAAATGACAGCTACCATATTTTAACAAACAGCTGAAAATTTATCAGTAGCTGACAAACAATGCATATTGCGACTATTTATTATATGTATATCATGCAAATATATACATTAACTTCATACTTCAGAGCATTTATAATTTTGATGTTTAGGAGAATATTGAAAACAGTTACTTATATACATTAGAAAGGAACTGAATGAAAGATCTATTTTCTTAAAAGATGTGGTAGGGAGAACATTTCTGGCAGTTACAATACCCTTCTTCCCAAAAGTGCCCAGTGCTATTAGGTTATAAGATCAGGACACCTTTTAGTGCCTTTATCCAATAGGTATTCTCCACATCTGAGTTTGTGGGCTCTAAGCATCAGCAGGCTAAATGAACCTGTTGGGCATTACTGCTAAGCTCTATCTCATCTCTAACCATTCACTGATACACATTTACACGAGATGGTGATTTTGCACACTCATTTGCAGGCAAGGGGCAGTGATTCTTGCTGGGTTAACTGAATCAACCCAGTGACTTGTGACTTGAACACACCAACTGTACTTCAACAACCAAAGCTAGTTAACACAAACTTCAAATTATTATCCCTTTAAAAAAAACTCTTTTGAATAACAAATCATTCATTTATAAGGATCACTTAATTTAAAATACTTTAATAACAGCAGAATGGCAGGAGTTAGCAAATCTCACCTCACAGACCGTACAGTGCCATCGTGTTTCTACGTGATGCTTGCATTCATTGCACGTGTAGACAAATCGGTCCTGGCCTTGATTGTGCAACTCCACCAGCATACACATGGTGGACCACTTCGCACGGCGCAATGATGAAAACTCCAAATGCTTGTCCCTGGCCAGTGTCAGGAATGCATCGCGGCCATCCATCAAATCACAGCTAAGCAAGGAGTCAGGATCCACAACTGAAGGCAATGTGTTCACCACTGGACCAGCATGGAAGTGGATCACAAAAAATACCTGAAATAAACGGTGCTATTAGAAGGGAACAGAGAAGACTGAGAGAAGTTTGCATTTCTTGCTCAACACTGTTAATCTTAAAATAAATTTAGCTGAACCAGAAACAGGAAAATTTGTTCACAATTATTTCATAGGAATGGAACGATGCCCCATCTAACATCTCACCTCAGACACTCCAATATATAATCACATTCCAATTGCAATTATAAATGGAGGATAAAGGGAATTTCTGTAACTCTCTCTTCTTGAGACCAAGGCTGGACCTGACCAAGAACTTCTACAGAGAGAACACCTTATTCCTTGATGATTACTACAGGCACTAAGTGGGGTTGTGGGTTTTAGGTGGTTATCTTATTATGGGTATCTGTGTGGAGCTGGCAGAGATGCTGAGTTCTTAGAGTACACTTCATCCTAAATAACAGAGAATGAGGCACCATTGAAATCCTCACAGCAAAACACCAACTAAACCAGTCAAAAGGGGGCAAGAGACCTCAAATGGTCAAAGATAGACACAAAACAGTTCCCTGCTCTAGCTGACCTTAGCATTACCAGGTTAGCCAAAAAAAAATCCCATTTTAATGCCTTGGAATTGGCTTTGGTATATCCAGTCACATTACAAGTGAAGCATGTTAATATCTTTATATCACCTTTTGGTTTTAACCTTTGTTCTTTATTACTTTGGTACTTTTGTCTATTCTTAACCATCTTTCCACCTATGTATGTCTGAGAGAGATATCACGGGTATCTGTCAGAACTGCTGCTTTTTGATCTTTAATACTTGATGCACATCTAAATAAGTTTTAAGTTTTCAAGAATGCTTGTTCTGATTTCTTTCATAATCACAATTCCCCTTACATTCTGAATTATTTTATCCAGCTTTAGTGATCTTAAACATTGATCTCACACATTTCTTTTTTGTTTGCCAGTTCTACAAAATGCCCGATTAGGTTTCTTTCTTGAAGTCTTAAATTTCAATTGTTAAGCTATAGGCACATGTTCATAAGCACCGAGTTTCATACTCTGCAGATTGCACGTGTGACAAAATGGTCCCCACAATCATATCTGAACCTGTCAAAACACTCCATATCATTTAGGTCCAAATATCTTTTTGCCATTTCATCTGTTCAGTTGCCTTCTCAAATGAAATAAATTATCTCTCTACTCCATCCACAGTAAACTTAGGCACCTAGCGCACATTCTTAGTGAAATCAAATTCCTCCTCAGAATCAGAATTATCCTCAGAGTTATTACCTCCTCTTCCTTTCTTTATCCTAAGCTTTTCTTTGGCCAACTCATATTCTCCAAGTTCCCTACCTCAACGGAGTTCAAATTTTCTTAATTCATCTCCCTCTGCTTTTCTTCCCTCTACTCCTCCATTTTAAGTTTTCCTAATTTGTAAGAACATAAGAACAGGAGCAGGCGTAGGCCATCTGGCCCTTTGAGCCAGCTCCACCATTCAATAAGATCATGGCTGATGTTTTCATGGCCCCAGTTCCACTTACCCACCCTTTCACCATGACCCTTAATTCCTTTACTATTCAAAAAATTATCTATCATTAAAAACATTCATTGAGGAAGTCTCAACTACTTCAGTGGCAGGGAATTCCACAGATTCAAAACCCCCTAATTTTGAGGCTATGCCATCTTGTTCTAGTTTCACCAGCCAATGGAAGCAACCTCTATTCTATTGCCCATTTCCATTACCCTTTGATTTTCTTTCTCCTCTAACTAGAGTCTTTTAATTTCTAACTGTATCTAAGCTAATTCCAGCTGTGACACCTCAATTTCAGGATTCCCTTTTTCCAATTTTAAATGTCGTATAATCACACAAAGCAACTCATCCTTGTGTGACAAAAACAGAAATTGCTGGTAAGGCTCAGCAGGTCTGGCTGCATCTGTGAAGATAAATCAGAGTTAACGTTTTGGGTACCCTTCCTCAGAACTGATGGTAGCTAGCAAAATGTCAGTTTATATGTAGAAGATAAGGTGAGGTGAGGGGGTAAGGAGTAAATGATAGGTGGGGATAGAGCAAAGAGAGAGGAGAACAGTTAGACAGAGAAAGGAGTTGATAACAATCTGGCTAGGAGGGTGAATAGCTGTTAATGGAGACTATTAGTGGCTAACAATAGGTAGTGTTTAACGACAGACAATGTGATAACAAGGCCTGTATCGGCGCCGCCTCGTGCTCCCACGAGGAGCTCGAACAGTTCATACACTTCACTAACACCTTCCACCCCAACCTTAAGTTTACCTGGACCATCTCTAACACCTCTCTCCCCTTCCTGGACCTCTCTGTCTCCATATCGGGCAACCACCTAGAAACCGATATTCATTTCAAGCCCACCGACTCCCACAGCTACCTAGAATACTCCTCCTCCCACCCACCTTCCTGCAAAAATGCTATCCCCTATTCCCAATTCCTTCGCCTCCGCCGCATCTGCTCCCAGGATGAGGCATTCCACTCCCGTACATCTCAGTTGTCCTCATTTTTCAAGGACCGTAACTTCCCCTCCTCGGTGGTCGAGAACGCCCTCAACCGTGTCTCCCACATCTCCCGCACCTCATCCCTCACACCCCGTCCACGCAATAAAAACCAAAAAAGAATCCCCCTCGTCCTCACGTACCACCCCACCAACCTCCGGATCCAACGCATCATCCTCCGACACTTCCGCCATCTGCAATCCGACCCCACCACCAAAGACATCTTTCCCTCCCCACCTTTATCTGCTTTCCGGAGGGACAACTCTCTCCGTGACTCCCTTGTCCGCTCCACACTCCCCTCCAGCTCCACCACACCCGGCACTTTT